TGGCACATTAATTGATCTTTTTTATTTCTTCTGATCCATTATGTTATATATTGTTTTAATAACCAATCTGTTGAATCCAAATATATCCGATAGATCGTGCCTAATGAATAGAGCGTGAGAGAGAGAAAGAGAGAGAAAGAGAGAGCCAGAGAAGGAAGAGGAGAGGAAGACTTCACCATACGGGGGAAATAAGGTGTTCTCGGACTCGTGGACCCATACAGTTGGGATCTCTCCTAAGGATGTTGAATTTGAATCTATCCGGTAGACCATGTTCAAGAAATAAAGCTTGAGAGAGAGGGAGAAAGTGCAAGAGAAGGAAGACGAGAGGACTCCCTCAGGGGAAATGGGGAGTTCCCGAGCTTGTAGATCTATTTTATTCCATAAAAAATGTGTGTTACAATTGGGATCCTCCCCCCAAAGGTTCCTCCCTTTATATTATGAAGCCCTCATATTTATAAAAGATAGGAGGGGTAAAAGTATACAAAAATTACATATTAGGTCGTATACTTTGAAGAGAAAAACAAAATGCATTTTAGTTCTTTTTATTTCGACTGTTGGATCATCTCGAGATCGATGCAGACTTTCATGTTCATGTTTGTCGGTTGATTGAAGTGAGGTGGCCGTGGGAGAGAGCTTGTTCGATCGACTGAAGTGAGTTGGCCTACTACTGGATTGCCTCGAGATCTGTGCAGACAATTTTTTTGGTATACATATGAAGTTTGTAAATTTTCTTGTTCATTTATAGTGACAACTACGATAAGGACAAGGAAATTTATTAATCAAACAAGTCTTAAATACGTAATTTGCTAATGATACTCCTTGCTAGGCGCTTTTCACGCTCAGTTCTGGTACTTTCTTCATCACCCACGTTAGTCCCAGAGTTACTCGTCCCGGAGGGGAGTATTGTAATTGCTCGCCTCGGAGGGGAGTCTTAAAGTTGCTCGCTCTGGAGGGGAGTCTTAGAGTTGCTTCCCTGGAGGAGGGTTTTAGAGTTGCTTGCCCCAAAGAGGAGTCTTAGTGTTTCTTGCCCCGGTAGGGCGTCTTGTAGTACTGCACTCGATCAGACGCTCTTGACATTGTTGTCGGTTGTTTTGTTATGCCTTTGACCAATCAGACTCTCTTGGCTTCGTTGTTGGTTGTTTCACTATGCCTTTAATCCAATCAGACTCTTGGTTTCGTTGTCGGTTGTTTCACTATGTCTTTGACCAATCAGACGCACTTGGCGTCGTTGTCGGTTATTTCCCATACTTTTGACCAATCAGACGCTCTTGGCTTCGTTGTCAGTTTTTTTGCACTGATTTAATTTCCTCTGGTGCTGGAAACAAATGAATTGAGATGTATCTAGATAAGCATATATGTGTGTAGAAATTGAGTGGTGTATGAAAATATGTAAGAATTAAGTCTTATGTAAATCTTCCCTATTTGGAAATGGTTGATCGCAGGTAGAGGCGTCGGAAGCAGCTGATCTGACATCAATTTATTGAAATAATGATTCTCTTCAAAGGATGCTACAGAGATATTGATAATCTTAAATGGTGGCTGTAGAAAAGTCATACATAAATATTATTATAATGACTTAAATGAAGATAACATAAAAAACCCCAATGGATGCTACAAATTAGTAGTGATTGGTTACAAGCGATAAAAGCTGAACTCGTTATTCCATAAATCCATACAATTCTTGATTGTAATGTATCCCACAATTATAAACACAAAAAGATGAGAGAAGTGACGAGAGCGAGAGGTTTTTGCAACATAATTCCCACACAAAGTGGATAATAGCGTGATGGTAGCATGTATGAAAAAATATAAAGATATGAATTGAGTGTTGCACATGTATATAAGACTTTTTTGTTTCTTCCTCCATGGTTTCGGGTTGGAGTAGAATGGTCGGCCGGAGCGGTGGGGTGGCTGAAGAAAGAGAAGAGGCGGCGACGGAAAGAGCCGCGTGACTGAGGTGGTGGCCTGACGAGATAGATGCGGAGCAGCAACTTATGAGTTTTCTAGAGGGATCAGTCTTCTATTTGAGGAGGGAGAACGTCGCTAAGGCGTGTTGCCTGAAATTGCCGACGACGAGGGAGTTGACAGGGGGCTGCAGACAGGTGTAGTTGGGCTATTGGTATAGTCACGCGTTCGAGAGAGCAGGAGGGCATTCTTTGCGAGAAGAAGTCCGATTGTTGAGGTGGTACCGTACGATAAAGGACAAGATCGCCCGGATGTGCGGCGATTGGTCATGAGATGGTTAGTCGGAGGTGACCGGAGCAACGGTCGGTTGGAGGGTGTTGCCAGCTGACGGGTAGACTATTTTAACATGTTTTGTAGGGCGGCGATTTGGACAAAATAAAGCGACACATTCGATAGTTTCGGATCTGAGACTTCCTTAATTTTGGATAGAGGCGAAGCGATCAGATGGATTTGGACGACCTGTCTTTGCGGCGTCTGGCCGGAGGAAGGTCGACAGGAGTGTGATTTATCGGCGAAAACGAGTTTAGCATTATAAAAATAGATAAGATTTAAGTGACAGATATGGGAATACAAAAATATATAGGAATTGAGTGTTATGTATGTAAATCCTCTTTTTTTTGAGTTCCTCAAGCATTGAGCAGCTATCGAAATACATGAACTTGAGGTGAGTCTTGACCTTATACAATTAGAAATGATCGATCGGAAGTAGAGGACCGACTGAAAGTTGGTGGTCGTTCGCAGACAAACAGAACAACGGTCGACCGAGGAGTGTCGCCGGCCGATGGGTGATTTGCTGGAGGCATTTATAAGATTTGAGTAGTATGTAAGAAATTATATAAATATGCAAGAATTGAGTGATATATATGCAAATCTTCCTTGTTTCAGAGAAGTGCTGTGGTCGATTGACAAATACATAGCAAAGCGTTGATCGACAAATTAGACGGGATTTACCTGGATCTTACCAGGACTTATGCTTGGACAACCTAAAGCCCCTATTTTATAAATCTTGTACTGGTACTCCATGCCAACAAGGAAGATGTTTGAATTTACCTTTCTCCATTGTTTCAGATAAGTGTAGAACGGTCGGAGGAAGATTGTTGGGAAGATAGGCTGAGCAAATTGTATAAACGAGTAAGGATTGAGTGAAGTATGAAAAAATATAAAGATACAAATTGGGTGTATATATGTGTATCTGTATATAAATTGAGGTATATGAATTGAGTGGTAAGTGTAAATCTCTCATGTTCAGTGGGTCAACAGAATGAAGTCCAGTCGTCGGAATGTAGTTTGGTCGGCGCCATGTAGTTCGGTCTGCAGAATGAAGTTCGGTCGGCGTAATTCGGTTGGCGTGTGTGAGAACCCCACTTGCGGCAGAAGAGCGATGTGGAATTGGAGTTTGATGTTAGAGAAGAATAGTGGAGTTGTGTGAGTGAATAAATGAGAGAGAGAGAGAGAGAGAGAGAGAGAGAGAGAGAGAGAGAGAGAGAGAATTTGGGGAGAGGAAGTGAAGGTCTCAGTTGGAGGTGGAAGTGTAGAGAAAGCTCGTAGCTTGAGTGGCGATGGGGAGTGAAAGTACGGGCTGCCTGGGAAGAAGAGTCATGGGGAGTTTGTGGAGAGAAGAGTTTCATGGCTGCTATGAGGTGACGTGAGATGGATGCTTGAGAGGCGATGGGGATTGAAAGTATGGATTGCCTCTGTTTCAACTAGATCTATGTGGAAATATGGAGAAAGAGATGAAGTTTCTTAAAAATCATCGTTGAGGAGTAAAGGAAGTGGATCCACTTTTGTGTAATTTTTCCTTGTGTGTTCTTTGCTAGGAGCGCCTCTGAAGAGTTTCCTCTTGGTGTTTGCTCGTCATTTTGTTCATATCATAATCCATGCTTACCGAACCTTAAAGGATGTTGAATCTGAATCAGTTCGGTAGACCGTGCCCAAGGAATAAAGCATGATAGAGAGAGCGAGAGAAGGAAGAGGAGAGGAGGAATTCCCCGGGAGGGGAAAATGAGATATTCCTGGGCTCGTGGACCCATTTTATTCCATCAAAGATATGTGTTACAATTGGGATCCACTTTTCTGTAAGTTTCCCTTGTGTGTTCTTTGCTAGGAGCGCCTCTGAAGAGTTTCCTCTTGGTGTTTGCTCGTCATTTTGTTCATATCATAATCCATGCTTACCGAACCTTAAAGGATGTTGAATCTGAATCTGTTCGGTAGACCGTGCCCAAGAAATAAAGCATGATAGAGAGAGCGAGAGAAGCCCAAGGAATAGAGCGAGAGAGAGAGAGAGAGCTAGAGAAGGAAAAGGAGAGGAGGACCTTCCTCGGCGGGGGAAATGTGGTGTTTCAAGGCTCGTGGACTCATTTTATTCCATTAAAGATATGTTACAGTTAAGATCCCCCCACATCATTAAACCCTCATATTTATAAAAGATAGGAGAGATAAAAGATATACAAAATTACATGTTTGGTTATGCTTTTAAGAGAAACGCAAACATTTTAGTTCTTTTTATTTCAACTGTTGGATCGTTTCGAGATCGATGCAGACTTTCATGTCCATGTTTATTGACAGACTGAAGTGAGGTGACCAAGGGAGAGAGCTTGGTCGGTCGAGTGAAGTGGGTGGCTGACTTCTGGATTACCTCGAGATCCGTGCAGAACATTTTTGGGTATACACAATCATTTTCCTTATTAGTGCCTTGATTATTAGCCTAACTTTTAGCTTATGTTAAATCAATTAATAGACAGAAAAATAATAATGACTTTTTAGCAACCATCTTATTTATGCCATACAATCATTTCAGATAATTTCTTAACATATTCCAAAGGTTAATATAGCTGATTTGAAAATACTTACCATCTCCATAAATTTCAATCCATCAAGCACCACTTGGTGCGTAAATGCTTTCTGGGGCTAAAATGAAAGATTAAAATGGAGTCTGGTAGCAAACCACTTCCAAAAGATTAAAAAAAACATTTCCGGTTGAATCATGTAGCAGGGTTGCCCCCTGCCCCTTTACTAACGAATGATGCTTGTTTCAGGTTGGAAAAGTGAGCATGGAATGGTTGGCTGGAGACAGAACTAAGGTTGTTGGAACTTTTCCTCCTCGGAAAAGAGGTTGGACTGGATATGTAGAGAAAGATACCGCTGGGCAGACCAACATATATTCCATTGAGGTTTGTGTTTTAAACGGTTAAAGGGCTATTTGGGATCACTTTTTATTTTTTATTTTATTTTATTTTGTTTATGCTTTTAGTTGAAATAAAATATATTTGGTATGTTGTAACATGTTTATCATTTTTGAAAAATTCTCTAAATACATTTAGATGTTTTGAGTATTTGTAAAAATAAATTAATTTTTTTATGAAAAAAAAAAATAAAAACATGCAAAAAATATACTATAAAAACATGTTTTTAAAATAAAAATAAAATAAAAACAAAAGTGATTCAAAACAAGCCCTAAAGCTACTGTGTTATCTTTTTAACGCATACAAATTCTTGTTTTCTCCCACTAAAGCCTAAAACTGTTCAAATGTACCTAACTGGAAATTCATCACCCCTAAAATGTAAAAGAAATACTAGGCTTATTTCCTAAAATGTAGATGGGATTGAGTTTGTCATTTCTCATGAATGCATTAATATTCTCTACAGGCTTGAGGATAATGTGCACGCCTAGGTTTTAATTGATTAGTTCTATAAGATCCAAAACTTCGAGTTCTATTAGACGGCTTATTTCCTGAAGAGCTTTGCTTGTACAAAGAGAAAATAACTTAGAAATTGATTCATTCTGTTAGATTGATCATTTGGTTGGGTGTATTTAGAAATCAACATGGATTTTAAGCTTCAAAAATTGATTTTCACACTTAAATTGATGAAAAACAAAATGATCACATTCTTAATCCTTTTTTCTATCTAAAAGCCACCAAAAAAGGCCACCTTGGATGCAATCAGTCCTTTTATTTGACCAATAAAAGCAAAATATGATCAACATGAATTAGTTTTCGGTCGCTTCATTCATTAAAAGGGAAAGTTCCGTTAAGAAAATCTAATAATCTTTAGTGGTTCTCCATTCCACAGCCATCGGTGTATGTGGCAGAGAGTTCAATAAGCTCAGGCAATGCAGGAACATCAGCAGAGGGCGCGGAGAACATAGCAGCAATCACTGCTGGTTTAGCTCTAATCTCTATTGCAGCAGCATCATCCGTGCTCATTCAGGTCAACAAGAATGAACCTCAAGTTCAGAGAGTGGATTACAGTGGTCCTCCTTTGAGTTATTATATCAACAAATTCAAACCTGCTGCTACAGTGGAAACTTTAGTCCCTCCCGCACCTGAAATCTCCCCATCTGTTCTTGCTTCTGTCCTTCCGGAATCTTCTTCTTCAACAATCGAAGCATCCGTAGATTCTGAATCTAAGATTTTGTCGGAACTGCAGTCTGAAGACAAAGCAAATTTTGCAGAAACTTCTGGGTAATCAATGTACCTTAGGTAATTACTTGGCTTTAAATGGATTTTGCTTAATGTATAATGTAATTTGACTTGCAATATATAACACATAACACAATGATCTAATTAAAATTTGGCATGTCTACTGTACAAAAAATCATTTGCCTCATTTTTCTTACTGTTGTTTCCAAAGCAGCTGCTTAGAATGTTCTTATATCAATCTTCATCTTCACCACAATTATAGGGAAATTTCATGATATATTCTTTTTTTCATTGTGTAAATAGTTGTAGAGTTGATGAAAGGTTTCAACCTGATCATCAAACTCTCCATTTTGGCACGAGTCTTTCTGTTTAATATGTTAATTTTCTCATCCCAGTTGTTAGAAATGATAACACAGACAATCATTTGATGTGTATTGTCATACAATTAGTATGAAATTAGCACACCGTTGTAGGACTGGCATGAGCGGCTTCAAAAAGAAAAGAAAAGAAAACTTCTAATGGTAGATTTGTAATTAGCCAGAAGGAATAAGCACATTTGAAGAATATAGACTTATTGTTATTTTAGAGACTTGCAAAACAGGCAACCACAAATACAGGAAAGACATTAAAGCTAAGGCTCTCCCCTGTTTTGAATCCATCAAAACAGGATTTTTAAATACTGATTGAACATCTAAGTGAAAATCGAAAATATGTATTTTCCATGCTAAATGATTCCGTCCTTTTATTGACCAATAGGAACGTTAAAAGTTTTCTCCCAGCGGCGGCTGAGGTAAGTCCTAAAACTGCATTGCGAGCTGTTGATTTTATTCATGTAAAGCTTCTTTCATCTTTTGTGGTGTATTATGTGTATAATGAATGAGGAGTAAATGAAGAAACAACACAGAAGAACTTGTAATTTAACCAAGTAATGCACATGAGAGAATTGGATTTAGCATCATATCAAGTAATTAAAAATATTTGTTTTTAGCTAACAATTGGTTGACCCACACTGCCTTGCTTGATTGATAGTGGATTTAACAGAATGTTATATCTAAATCTGACATAGTTCACATGAATTTTTAATTATAATTATAGTTATAATTATAATCATAGGTGATTGTTTGGGCATATATAATTATTATATTTGTGGCCTAAAAAAATGTCTAGTTTTTACTCAATCAATTACTTGTACTAATGAAATTTGGTGATGCTTTACTCGTGGATGTTGCTCACATTGTTTTAGGTAAACCTCTACTATATGATTAGTTATTTCTCATTTTAAAAGATACAGTATATATGCAAATATGACTAATGACAGAAGAACATTTTCAAAAAATCTAAAATCGAAGGGTAAATTTTAATTTATATAAGGATTTGTGGGCTTTAAAAATTCGAAATACCTCAGCCTTCCACAATAAAAAGAAAATATTTTGAAAATGAGGTGAGGGAGTTTAACATGAGGTTCCATATTCAATTTTTAGAAGGCAGATGAAATAGTAGATAAGACAATACCCAAAGATTTTACCCTCATTTTGTGAAGATTTTAATATATGGGGTTTGAGGTTTCCCATAGGCTCAATCTCCTATAGTTAATTACCCCTCATGATAGACAACATTTTCGATTAAGACTAGTTATTAGACACTAGGTTTTCAGACTTAGCGAATATTAGCAACAAATTTAAGATTTAAAATTTATGAAATTTTTTTTATGAGCTTAAGAACATATGGAGTGGAAAATGATGACGCGGCCGATCAAGATAACATGGTTCTATGATATTCAGTTATCGTGGTCCAGGTCTATTTAGTTAGAGGAGGTAGTCAACTCAACCTGACAGAAAAATCCTTTTCAGCGACTAGAAGCTGCTTCGGCTAAGGGAACTTTGTAGACCTGGGGCGGGTATTTGTCTAAGGGGACTATTCTAAGTCAACCTTGGCTTCAGAGGGCTTTATGTCTTATCAAATATATCCTATGATTCATAACTTAAATATTATTGGGGAACATATGAGCTGTGACTGTGGCTGTTTTAAAGAAGAGCTTATTGGTCAAACAATCTGATTAAAGAGCTCAATTCATATCCTCTTTTTATGTGAAGCCTCCTAACCAAACCACACAGACTAAGGACTCGTGCCATGTCCTTACCTGCACAAAGTTACTTTTTAGTTTGAATTTAATATTACAATAGATATAACATTTCGGTTCTTTGTGAGATTGAGTCAATATTGGATTTGTTACTCTTGACAAACAATATTGGAGGGTGGATTATTTTTATATTTTTATATTTTGCTCTATAGCCTTTAATGATAGAATATTCATTTAAATTTCATTGAATTTATTTGAATTTAATATTTAAAATTTATGGATTTGAAAATATTTTTAAAAACATGTCCTTCGATTGAGATTCACATTCAACATGACCATCATTGGGGATTTTAAAATTGTTGGAATATTGATATTTAATGTTTAACTAGATCTTATAATTTAAACATCATGAAATGTCAATTGACTCAACTTCATAGGCAATAGTTGGCCTAATAGATCATAGTTGGAAGCTATGGTAGCTTTATTTGGCAACATATGAGATAGTTGGGAGCTATATTGGTAACTGGCCATATAGTCCATAGTTGGGGCTACACTGGTTGGTGCTTGCAACCCTTCACTCATGTTATTATTTTAGACCAGAGATAACACTTATTGGTATACGACCTATATAAACTTCCTGGAGTCTAAAAAGGTTGTTGTATTTTTAATACGACTGTAGTAAGCAGTTGTCGTCAGAAGCTATTATCATATCTTCAATATGGTGTTATTTGTTACACCTTATTCATGATTACTTATTTACTGTGCATATGGGATACTTCATCACAAAATAGACATTGTCAATGGAGTTGAGTAGGGGCAGCCAGGGGATGGTGATTTATAGTGAAGGGCAACATATGAGATAGTGAGAAGCTATATTAGTAACTGGCCATATAGTCCATAGTTGAGGCTACACTGCTTGGTGGTTGCAACCCTTCACTGATGTTATTATTTTAGACCAGAGATAATACTTATTGATATACGACCTATATAAACTTCATGTAGTCTAAAAAGTTTGTATTTTTAATACGATGGTAGTAAGCAGTTGTCGTCAGGAGCTATTATCATATCTTCAATATGGTGTTATTTTTTACACCTTATTCATGATACTTCTTTACTGTGCATATGGGACACTTCATCACAAAATAGACATTGTCAATGGAGTTGAGTAGGGGCAGCCAGGGGATGGTGATTTATAGTGGTCGGAGGTTACAAAGTTTGGAAGTTATCATTGGGCCTTCAATATAAAGCATCACTAAAATTTGACTCTTCTTCTCCTCCTCAATTCCCGCCAGGCCCCCCCCTAAGGGAGAGACACGTTTTGGTTTTTGGGTGAATAACTTTCCCAAGCACCAGATTGGACAACTCATATTGACCATCTTGATCATGGATATTTTTTTATGATTAGAGGAACTTAGTAATCTCATAATTATGGGGGCTTAGGTTCATTTGATTTCTCTCATCAAGACACTTGATTTGACCACACACACACACACACACACACACACACACACACACACACACACACACATATATATATATATATATACAATTTTTGATTTGAGGTCTTCAAAGGTGTTTTAATGGCTTGATCTGAACTTGATTGGACTTGGATTGAATTAATTTTAGCGTCTTCAGGTTCATCAGGGCGAATGGTTAATTTGACTAAAAATTTGCTAAAATGGGAGTTCTAAATGATCATTAATTTGCATCAAACATTTTTATTCAAAAAATTTCTTTGAGATTCATGTGAAAAAATAAAATTTATTGATGATATCAAGGCTTAGTCTTGTCAACTCCAATAACTTTGAGGAGGAGGATCGCATTGGTTGATGGTGGGACATTGGACCTTACGCTATAGGCAAGGCGACTCATTTGAGAGTGTGCATAATTTAATAATTTTAATTTAGTTTTTGAAAAGAAAACTTTTTAAAGCTTTAAAGTACATGAACACTTATGAAAATAGATTAAAATTTAGCATGAATATGCAATTAACCCTGATAACATTCTAAAGTGCTTAAAATTTGAAAATTTAGGAGAAATGACAGAGCACGTGTTGATATTATATTTTTTGATAGCATGCATATTTTTCTAGATGAGGCATTTTAAAATTTAATTCAATTTAAGCTTACGTAGTGTTCTCAAACCACATGATCAAGCATTCAATTTCATGGCCGGTGCACATGTGAGCATGTCTTTGTTGTGTGCAATTTTTAAAATATTTAGAGTTTCTTATTTATAGGATTGCATTATCAGTGGAATGTATGCAAACCTTCATTTTAAGCCCTAAAACTTTCACCTTTCATTTATTTCTACATTTGTATTGCATATTAAATTGCCATTTGTGCAATATAAGTTTTGAAGGTATTTCAAGCTACCAAAACTTTGTTCTTTTATAATTAATAATGGGCTAATAGAATATCAAGTTTGGGCTATAGATGTAGCTTTTCATTTTATTTCCCCACAACTTTAAAATGATTACTCAGAAAATTTTAAATTTTGTAGTTTTCAATATGTGGACTTATTCACATTCAAAGATAAGCCATCAAGTCCCATACATGTTTGTAAGGAAGTTATTCAGCTATATAAATAATTGTGCAAGTTACCAAATTTATTGTGACCCTCATTTATTCTTCATATATATGCTTGACTAATACTACTTTTAGTAAATGTGCCCAATTAGGATTTCTTTATTTTACATAACTTAAATTCCAATTTAGTTAGTGGTAACATATTTGCAAACTCCCAGCATCATCCCATTGAGGGTGACTACTTCAGGAAATTGGGCCTAACCATCATGCCAAGAATGATATGCATGGGTGATGTTGTGTGACACCATGTTTTAAGTATTTGAAACTCACCACACCAAGAAAGGTGCACATGGGGAACCTATAAGATTAGATAGAAAATAATAGTAGATTTGTTAATTTATGTGGATTCTAGCAACATTTTGACAGCCTCCTCATCTCATCTCCATGAGAGAGGAGGGATGCTTTGGGTATTAGGGCCTAACCATCATGCCAAGAACGACATGCTTGGCCGATGTCACGAAACACTATAACCAAAAAAATTGAAATCCATCACACCATGAAAGTAGGCATGGGGGTACCTGCAGAAAAAATTTCTAGCACATATATGTATATCCCTCAAATTCTGTAATGAACATCGCCAAACTTCCCTTGACATGATAATAAAAGCATGAAAAAGTTTGCTTGGGATAGACACATCATAAATAAATTATGATAAGTATATCTTTTTATTACGTTTTGACTGTCACTAAGAAATTCCCTCGACATGCTAAGAAAAATTTGCACAAGTTTGCTTATTGTGACAGACATGTCGTAAAAAGGGTTTCCTCGTGATCTTCGTATATGAGCTTCCCCCACCATGCTAAGAAAAATGTGCTTAGATTCCCCTCATTTTGCGAAATTTTCCGTAAATAGAGTATTAGGGAGGCTTAGAAAAAATACCTTTTATTTCTTTCGAAGATCGACAACATTGATACATCAATTTTGGGATCCCATGTTCTCTCCTCTCTTCTACTTTTTTTTTTTTGAATAAAGTTTCAACCTCTGACCATTTCCCTTAAAAACATAGGCACTTTTTCTATCTTCAAGATCAATAAGTCCAAATGTGTATACTTTTACTACAGTGAATGAACTTGACCATCGAGACTTCCATTTTCCTAAAAATAATTTCAATCATGAATTGTATAACAACTCTTGAATCGTAGACACTTATCCACCCAAGAGAATGGACCCCTTCTCTGCAGAAATGTTTCTAAAAAGATTTTGAGTATACTTGGGAGACATCTGTATCAACACACTGAAGGAAGAAGATAAGGAAAGTGACGAGAGGAAAGTTAAAGAAACAAAACAGTCGCACGAGCATCCCTAACACTTTTTGCCCCTTTTTATAGAGAGGTGAAGCAAGTTGAACTACCACAGAGGACAATGATTTCATTTAACATACACAAAACATGAATGAAAAGTCATGTCAGACACATACATTGAGATAGGGAGTAAAAAGCTCTTTATTTTATTTCATAGTAGTAAATAAACCATTTACATTATAGAGAGTTAGCTAGTCAACCCGAAAAAAAATATTGAATTAAGCTATAGGCCATTGCTTTAGCCAAGACAAGTCGTCGCTGAAGCAGCTGCTGATATGTCAGTTTTCGTCCTAACCAAAACATATGTACTATTTCTATTTCATTATGTGCCTGAGAAGTAAAAGATTCTTCTTGAACAGTCGTAAGTTTCGCCTGGAGAGCACGGAGTTCCTCCTAAAGGGTGATCACCACCACGCGTAGGAGTGCCTTCTCGCTCCTCCAACATTCTTCACATCTCTTCTGAGCAGCTAAATGACACAACTTAGATGGACGGCTCAACTGGTCGGTCCACAAGTTCCCTCGGATTCTGAAGTCGCATTTTCGACATCAGAGACTTCAAGGAATTGACGGCCACACCCTGATATACCTTCAGCTAAGAAAACCAAATAATCCTTCCATTCACAACTGTTTGTTGATAATTTTATGTTGGCTTCTCCCAATTGCCAAACTCTATGGTGAGATTCTTTTTTGTTTCAGCCAAGAAAAAATTGACTACCACCACAGTAGCAAAAGGGTCCCCTACATAACAAGTCAAGATAAACAACTCATGCAAAAATATGGGTGACTAAAAACTCTATACTCATGATACGAGCCCTATCAGAAGAAGTAAAGGAAAATCCTTCCTCATTGGGTTTCTGCCCCAAGCTTGCGCATCGAGTGCTCCTAGCCTGGTTTCCATAACCTAATGGGATAAAATCAGAATGGAAACCAACTTAGCAACCACCTCTCTGACCAAAGGATTTTCTTCTATAGGAGATGGACCTAGAAGTTTGTCTTCCACAAGTGACAAGGCTGCTTAACAGTCCTCACCAGTTGTTTTGAACCTCTCCCCTAAAGAAACTTCAATCAATTGAGTCTTGCCACTTGACTGCGCCAGGGGCAAATCTGAGGATCCCACTTCATCCTTGGAATCTGACACTCCCCTCTTTTGAATGGGCAACTTTTGTCTCTTTGCTCCCTTAGGACAAAGGGCAAGCCTCCTCATCTTTGCAATAGCTCTTTTGTAGGCAACTTTATAAAGACTCGAGGACTTCAATTAAAATTCACCCACCATAACGCCAAGAAGAAGCAAATTACTCTTGTCGAGAATATACAGAGGAAGATGAAGAGATTGGTGCCTTCCATGTCCTATTTATAGAAGACAAATGACATGAAATTCAAAGGAGTTTCAATTATTGCACCATTGAGTTATTATAAATGTTGTTGGTTTTTAGTATGTGGAAAAGCATGCTTAATTTCATTTATATTTTGCACATTTTTATGGATGAAATTACACTTTAAAGAATGGTATTTTATGCTTTTTTTCTTGTAGGTACAACTTGTAGTATATGGGGAATGAATTAGAGAAGAAATGGAGCAAAGCTAAGGTGACATGAAGCAAAAAGGAACCTAAGGGATTGGCGTCTGGGTTCCAGCCATTGGGCGCCTAGGCGCACATACCAAGTGCCTTAGCACCACTTTCATGGGTGCAAAGGCGTCCACGCCTGAACCAGCAGACAGAGAGCTTGGTGCCTAGGCGACAACATAGTGGTGCCTAGGCGCCCGAAGCTGCTCAGACAATATAAGAGATTCCAAGGATATTTTTTGAGAGGAGAGCACTTCTGAAGCCAAGGAGGAAAGTCTATGTGAAGCCTAGGGTTAGATTCTAAGTTAGATTTGGCGCCTAGGCGCCTAAAACTGCCTAAACAATTTTCAGTAGTTACTCCTACACGATTTTGGGTGTTATACAGATGATATAAGGGATTCCAAGGATATGGTTTGAAAGGAGAACACTTTTGAAGATAAGAAAGAAAGTCAATCTGAAGTCCAGGGTTAGATTCCAAGTTAGATTTGCTTTTACTTGGAGAGCTTGGTGAGATTAGTGAGATGTATTGGAGGGAAGACATTCAACACTATAGTGAGAATTTGGGAGATCCATTGGAGAGGAAATTCCACCACTTTGTAAAGGGAAAAATCTAAGTATTATGTTCTGTTTTGTATTGTAATTTATTTTTAAACACAATTCTAGTGGATTTGTTCTGTTTCAAACATGTGTTCTAGTGTTCTCTCCATGCTTTGTGAGTAGTCTTTTTACCTTTCTCTTGTGTTGAATAAGAAGGTTGTGTAGGAATAGTAGAATGCTTTTAAAATTGGTTTTCAATATTTAATGTGATGAGAATTTCTCAAAGCTTCATTTACTTTTCATTCCGACCAAATAATTAGTTAAAATGTGTTATGATCCATAATGACTAGGAAGAGTTATGGAAGAATGATTAGAGTATTCACGTTGAACTATAGGGTATAAAGCAAAAGCAAACTATAAATATGCAAATAGAAAGGGAAATAATCTTTGATGGGTTCAAATTTGGGTTTAAGGAATTAAAACAAGTTTAACCAAACAAATTTATGCATTCCTGAGAGGGTAAAAAAGAAATTTGCTCATATTTGTCACTAGCCACAATTACAATATAAAGTATTCCATTCCATTCCTACACTCCACTTATATCATTTCAAGGAAATGTCAAATATATTTAGTAGAATTTTTGTAAGAGTAAACCATCAAGAGTAGTTTGTAATTCAGTAAGACTAGTTAACAAAATTTAAAACAAACTTTACTTCTGAGTTAAGATTGATTTTAGTAGGCTAGAACTTCTCTTTAGACTAATTGCCTCATTGCCCATGAGATCAAAATTTTGGACTCAAAATTTGATATTATTCATACGATATATACACTTGCGTGAAACCCCTGCACTTAGAATTAGGTCGTGTCAAGTATGTTGGCGCCACTACAGGGCATATCCGTTATCATAAATAAGATTCATTTGTTCATATAACAACTGTCACTATTAAGAAGCAATTGAAACGGGATATTGAATATATACACGAAAGACCTGTTGACACGAATCTCAAAGGAATTTGATGGATCCAGAAGACGTGGTGGGGCAATGTAAGCCCCCCCTCCCCGAAAAAAGTACTCCATGCGGAGCTTAGATGACAGTAGCTAACTGAAGGCAAGCAACATAAGAGATAACCAACTTGCTACAACCGACCAACTGCATTAAGTCGATTGACTAACTCTACCCCAGCCGACATCACCAGCTGACATCACCAATTACATTCGGGTGGCATCGTTGAGTCAATCAACCAACAACACCTGTGTCGTCAGTCGGCTGGAAAGTTCAACCAAAATAAACGGCCGACAGGATAGTCTGTCTTTTCCCTACCAACCAGATCATCAAGTTAATGAATTCAAGGTATTTTTGGATCCCACTGAAGTCAAATACATGTAATACTCTGTATAGTTCCTACGAACTTTTATGTAATTTCAAGGGTCATCCCTCCTCTGTCTTTACATAGAGGTCATGCTGAGAATAAATGTTACACGATCTTAGCGAAAAACGTCGAGAATGGTCATTATACTTGTTCTAAGTTATTGTTTATTCTCTTCTCTTCTTTATCTTATTCACGATCTATTTCTTGGGTGTGATTCATAGGACAATTTCAAATTCAGCATTACATATTTAACATTTAACTTTGATTTTCTTCATTTATTGAGCTCAAATCTTTTATATCCCATAAAAAATACTATTACTTTAATTTTTTAAATGTAAAATTCATGCATAAATAAAATACTAAGGTGACATACATAGGTCCTGATATGTCAATACATGAGACAATGCATAAGAATTCTGGCATGTATATAAATTTCCCTATAAAAATTATTACTGAATTGTAGCATTTAGTGCGGGAGGCAGCCGGCGTTTTTTACATACAAAATCTTATTGAAAATATCAACTATTATCGAGAGAGAGAGCCAATCTCTAGCATGTTTGCTGCAAAAACCATTAGAACGAAACAAACACATGAACACTCTCTCCTACTTTCAGAGCTGAAGTTAGGTCAGAATCCTTCATGAACGGAGCCCGGCTGCAATTAACCCAAAAACTCCTTTCATAAAGATCTATTTTTTTCCCCTACTTCCCTAATATAAATCTGCTATCTGTGGGCTGCAAAATACCTGCACCTCAACCAGAGTAGCTCTCGACTCATTCCCAAAAAGAGATTTTTTCCCATCCTCCCTTCTCGCATAAGACAAACCCAATCTCGACTTCGCCTGACAGAGATCTCCGACGCCGGAGTTTGTGTCAGGTCCGGCGAACCCTCCCATCACCGGCGCAAGCGGCGGACCGATAAGTAGTCCATCAGCTCCAAACTGAGGACCTCCCCTCGCATAATCGAACAGCGCAGCACCGCTGCCCCCTACTTTGGGCAGAACAATTGGCTCCTCATCACCACCTTCAATTTCTTTCCAGTAGAACAAAAATGCATCAAATGTGTCGTAATAATCATCTGTGCTACGGTATCCTTCAGGATTGAATGCGCCGAACTTAAAGTGTCTGTCAGTGTATCCTATCACTACACAAGGACCTTTGAAATCACACTGGATGTGAAAATCAGTAGCACTGAAGCCATCTATGGATGCTCGATAACAGCACTTCAGCTCCCTTTCTGCAGAAACCAACAAATATTACGATTATTATCTGTCATGAACTGGAGAGGGAAGAGGCAAGAGCAGCAATCATTCTGCAGATGGTTACCTCTGAGGTGAGTTTTAGCGAGCAGAGATTTAGGGAAAGGGAGAGTAATGTCATGGTGGTACTTGGGCTGTGGCTTGTGCTGTTCTGCTGTGCTGCGGTTTTTGTTCCAATCAAAGAAGCAAATAGTGGTTCTTCTCGGCGTAGATATGGAAGGATAAGGCACCATGGAAGCCATAATAACTCTGTGAATGAGATGAGTGATTTGAATAAAACGGGATATATTTTATTCTCCTCCCATTTTGTGGCTTACATGCACTAACATGAGATAATATAAGAAGGGGGATTTACATATATAACACTCAAATCTTGCTTATTACCAAAATCTTATATTTATGTACTTAGCACCCAAAACTTCCAAAATACTCAAAATTATCTGCTCCAATAAATATAACAGAATGAAAAACTCTTTCTTGCTCACAGCAGCTTGTTTAGATTGAAGAGGGGAGGCCGTTTGCCGATGGCTGCTGTTATGATTGCTACAGAGGTGGGGCGGCACAGTCTGGGAGCATCGATTGAATTTGAGTTTGGATTTCTCGTGATTCTGGCTAGAAGGAGGTATTTCTAAGAATAGATAGAACTATTCGAGGGATTGGGAAGATTATAGAGGGGCTTAATTATACCATTGGAGTAGAAAGGCTGCTGAAATGAAATAAGGAAATTTAAAGTGAACTGCATTGGCTATTTGTCTTGCAGAATGGGGAGGGCTAAAAAAAGAGCTTTTTCCTTTTGCTGTTGCTGAGATGGATGGATTGAAGGGAAGCCAACTAAGGGCTCGGACAATGCTCCCACTGTTCATCTTCGTCAATATCTAACAACATACATACCAAAAACCAATCATGATGCAATATACTTTGGAGTACCTGGAGTACACCCTAATGTGTATAGTAGTGCTCAAACCCAATTGGCTTTCTGTGTATTTGGACGTATGCAATATTTTCTCTCATATCGAGCATGACGAATGTGATGGTGCAAGTTATAGGGGGAGAAGTGCTAATTTTGACTATTTTGAAAGTTTTGGGCGTTGGGTATGTAAATGTAAGGATTTTGGTGATGGATATGTAGATAAGCAAATTTTAAGTGTCATGCATGTAAACCCCCAAATAAAAAGTTATTATTATTCATATTGCATTATATCATTAATATGGTTGCATGTTAGAAAAGCCATGATAAAACAATTATAGATTAATCTCTTAGTGTTACTCAAAATTTCAACTTATACACAGACAAGAGAAAATTTGAAAGAAGAGACAATAGAGTTACAGAGCTTTAATTTTCTCACTATGTGAAAGAAAGGGTTAGAAAGTTTTGAGTGAATGATATTTGATATTTGACATTTGCTTTGCATCTCTTCTCGTCCGAATTGGTTGGCTTTCAAGCTCTACATTGGAGATCGCATCAAATCTTTCGATCGAACACCCCAGCAATGAAATTCTTCTTATTGCGTTTGGGTGATTGAAGCAGCGTTACAGCTCGGAAGGTGAAAAGAAGAAGAAAATTGTGTCTGAGAAGAGAAAAGCAGTCGCACCCGTGAATTAGGATGGGTCATCTGATTCGTTCCTCGGTTTTCAATGGAGGAAAGTTCGAGCAACTGGCCTAGCCATCAAAAGTTCGGGCAACTGGCCTAGCCATCAATCCTTTAGCTCAACTTTTTATCGTGACACAAGTCTGACAACTGAATAGTGGTGCTCTGCTGTCGCTTGTGTCACAAGAAGTTAGTGACCATACAAGAAGCTATTTGTGCTCTGCTGTCGCTTGTGTCACAAGAAGTTAGTGGTGCCCTGCGGGTGCTCTGCAGTTGCACGAGATGCAAGAGACTATTAATGCTATGCCACCACACATTAAGGGGAAAGGCTACAAAGAATTTCTAAGGAAATGCTACAAAGGATTTGCTTTGAGAAAGAGTTTCAGATAAGTTTGTTTGTTTATTTAATGTTGTATGAACTTTATTTTATACATGCAATTTCTGTTTTGTCGTATATTTCTCATGAAATCTGAGTAGTTCCCTCTATCTTTCCTCCTATTTTGAGATATAGTGAAATGAATAGATAACATTAATGTGCCATAATTAAAATATAAAATAAATTGTGATGATTTTTCAACTCTGAACTTAATTTAATTTTCAGTTTAACCAATTTATTTGTTAAAATATATTGTGAAACATATGATCCGGGAAATAGAGTATGAGTTCTACAACAGAGTGAGGATCACATTTGATTTCATGAAGGAGAAATTCATTCATGAAATTAAGTGCAAATAAAAAGAAAAATACTCTTTATTGGGTGTAAAATTAGAGAATCTTTAGGGTAACAGACTAAAATCCCCAATTTGGTCTTAGTGTTTAAAAACTAAAACGAGATTTAGCCTTCAACTGAAGGGAAGTGGGAGCTCTGGAGTGGGAGCCGGTATTCTCCTAGCCTAGCCACGGATTTAGGGACTAAACCTAAGATTAGCCAATGATTGTTTATGCACTGTATCAGGGTAGAGAATTAAAAATGCTTCTATTTGACACAGTACATATTAAAAATATTTATCTCATCTCATTTCACCAGAATTTCATTGTAGTCGGAAGAATGTTGTCACATAAAAAATCTTCATTACCTAAACATAGTTCTTAGATTAGTATTTAATATTTAAAAGTTGCATTTTCATTTTTGCTAATAGTTAAGTAATTTAGTTTTGTTAAAATCTCAACATTCGAAATTAGTGATAGTGATTTCGTTTTATTATATGTAAATTTCCTGTTAAAACTTATCATTGCTAACTTACATCTTCCCTGTGGGATCAATATTTGTGGCTTAAACAGAAAGTCCATTATTACTTGATAACGATATGTATACTTGCGTAGAATCACGTTATTAATTGCCTATAATTATATATATTTTACACAACTTACTTTTTCATATAAGGATAAAGTTTTTGGCGCTGTAATGGTGTCAACTTCATAAATCCTTACATATAAAAATTCAGAATCAGTGGTGTTTTCAGAAACGTTTTTAGGAACTTAATTTGTTACTTTACCTCTCTTGTTTATGCACAAAGCTCCATAGAAGCTGAAGGGTGGGTTGTTTTGTTTGTTGTTCAGATCACTGCGATTTACAACTTCACCCACTTAGGACCACTGCACCCCTATGGTATTTACTTTACCTGTTTAATCGAATCTTGCATCTACTATCTTCTCATCAACTACAGGTTCAGTTTTCCTTCATCCATAGGGAAGGTAATGCCCCAGCTGACTATTTGGAAAAAATGGGCCATGCAGGGATCTCTGTTGGCCTCCACCCCCCATACATGTTAAGGAAATTTCTACTTGGGGATAAATTGGATTCCCCATATATTTGATCATGATTTTATGTCATCTCTATGTCATTTTCGTTTGCAGGTTTTTCTCACTGGATCTCAGAGGCTGTTACCCTTAGGGCTGTCAAAAAAGCTCATTGTTCATGAAGCATTTGTGTTCGGTTCGTCAATGAGTTCGTGTTTGATTCGTTCGATAAGTAAACGAGACGAACGTGAATAATTTTTTTTTCGTTCGGTTAGTTAAACGAACCAAATACGAACAGTAATACGTTCATTTGTGTTTGAATCGTTATTGTTCGAAATATAAAATAATTTAAAATAATTATATATACAAAATTTATGATATTTTAAAAAATTAAATTTTATAAATTATAATATATAATAAATTAATAATAATAATATA